ACGAGACCGATAGATCCTGAGTTCGAATCTCGCGGGCTGGATCATGTATGCATACTACTGGGGAGTTCTATACAAGGACGAAACGGCCGTCAAGTGCTTCCAGATTTTCCGTACTGGCCTAGCTTCAATTGACTCATGAATTCAACCATTAAATCACTGAAATCTCCATAAAACCCTTTTCTGATAATAATCATCGTATACTCACTAGTGACTAGTTTCAAGAGGTATTTCCTGGAGTTCTAGTGAGAATCCGTGACCTTTGGAGTTCAACCAATTCTGTTGTGTGATAGTAAATCACTGAAGACAATGGTGGATGGTGCAGGAATTTCGTGGATTGGTTGAAATAAGACATTAACATCGTTAGATGCCTACTCAGTGGTCTACAAGTTAAGTGTTTGCGAGCGAGACCGATATGTCCTGAGTTTGAATCTCGTGGGTGCAGGATTGTGGAAGCGCACTGCTGAAGAGTTTCATACTAGGACAGAACGACCGTCCATTGCTTCCAGGTTTTCCATGGTGGTTTAGCTTTAATTAATTCATAAATTCAACTATTAAATTACTTAGTAGATTGTTAATTTTTCTTAGAAAAATTAAATTTATAATAATCTAATAAATTACTACGATAGAAATTTTCAGAATTTGTTTCTTTGTAAAATGATCACGTTCAGTTTCATATTGAATTGATTATTCTCCTTAAAGGTCAAGGTGCTATTTATGTACTATAGTTTTAGTAAAATATTGAAACGTTAATTTTATATCATTATTCATTTTACAAAAATTCTCTCGCACTTCCTTTTTAATAGATGAAGATTAAATTATGGGTAAATTCTGAGAGCTATTAGTGGAACAATATTATTATAATATTCTTATTGTACAACTATTGAGTAACTAGATTATGTATATTTATATTCCACTTATCATAAGATTTATTTTGTTCTATAAACTATTATTATACGATTTACTACTCATAAATTATACTCAGTTTAATATCACATGGGGTTCTTTTATGAATATTATTGTCATTTCAATGGTTGAGATCATGAGTGAATTGAGGCTAAACCATCATGGAAAACCTGGAAGCATTCAGTTTATTTATTACAATCTCCCACGTTCACAGTCACATTTTGGCTAGATCTTGTGCACATGTTATTTCCTATTTTACGGTGTGATGTAGTCTATTTGGCTGGTATATAAACTAAGTATGTTTCAAATAAATGATTCGTATATTGGGAACTATTATTGATGTTCTGAACTAAACAGGCAGGGCTAAGCAGAAAAAGGACCAATAAGGACGCTAGGTTGCTCATACCAGTCGATATGTCATTATTGTAGCACAGTGTTAAGATTATATAATATAGCGACTCACGTGCAATTGAGTTTAGTTCAGTCAAGGCCTTTTGTTGACCTATTTAATGGACAAAGTCATCCATGGTATAACAACTTGTACTATCTTTATTATTATGCTTGTATGAAATACATATGCTTGAACATTGTTTAGCGCCTACGCATGTATTCATTCTGCTAGCTTCATTATTAACTGCTTAATCTATTCGCTGACTCATCCATTTTCCTATACATATATATATGTGTACATTTGCACCCATTCACTACAACAACTACTACTGCTACTTGCTACTGCTACAATCGTAGTTCACTTGCTCATTCATTTTGCCTCTCTGCTGTCTGGTCCGAATTATCTACTAAATAAACTGTAGTAGCTGCTTCTTTTTGCCTTCTGATTTCAAACATCGTTGAAGATTATACGATAACGGTTCGAGGGTGATTAATTATCGAAGCACAGCCACTACAGAATTGGTAATCCCGACGTGAGAACGGGAAGCGAATTTCGGCGAAATAATCAAATCCCAAAAATCCGACTACCTTCATCTCAATTTGGATTATCAAATGAACTATAATTACAACTGTGGATTTATATTATTATTTTAATTACACTTACATTATTTCGCAAACATTATTAAACGTGACGATTATAATCATAATAAATAACAATTATCCATAAACAATTGATATATTGGTGCAATTTAGTAAGTCTGTTCCATTTTATAAATTGTGCCATTTTTTTATTATCATTGTTTTTGCCCGTCTATTCTTCCTTGGGACTGTTAAATTATTTTCGTGTGCTACTTAATTTTTATAAACATGTCTTACGAAAACACAGTTTCAAGCGTACAGCAAGCCTCGTCCGTGAGGTCTCTTAACCTCCCTGCCCCTTCTTTTAAAATCACAGACCCAAAACTTTGGTTTATAAGACTTGAAAATTATTTTCTCGCTAACCGCATTCTTTTGCAAAAGGATAAGTTCGGCCTGACAAGCACACTACTCCCAGACGAAGTAGCTGACAGCGTTCGAGAGGCACTAGCAAAACCAGACACAGAAAAACCATACGACGTGCTAAAAGAGGCAGTAATTAAAACTCTCTCTCTCAGTGACCAACAAGCCGTCGAACAACTCCTTAGCCAAGTACAAATTGGAGATAGAACCCCATCACAACTAAAAAATTATATGAAAAGTCTACTTGGCGATAGACACATTGACAATAATCTCTTTTATCAACTGTGGCTCCGCCGACTCCCGGCAAAAATACAGCAGATCATAGCTGTGGGAGTTATGGATGCTGGTTTAGACAATATAGCAAAGATAGCCGATAGAATATACGGAAGAAGCAAGCAAGGAAGTTCTCCACTACACAGCGTGACGGTAGACGATAGACTTGATATTCTACAGAAGGAAATAAATGTTTTATGCCGCAAACTCACAGAATTAACGCAGAGAGAAAAGCCACGAAGGTCATCGCGAGATCGCTCGCGTGAAAGGACCCGGTCAACTTCTAGACGACGCACAACTCCCGCGATATGTTGGTATCATCAAATGTTCGGCTACAGGGCTAGAAAGTGCCTACAACCTTGTAGATTTAACAGGGCTAGTAACCGATACCCACGAGTATCAATGGCAACGGCATCAACGCACATAATGCCTGAAAATAGTCGCCTCTTTTATATACAAGACCGAACCACTGGCGCACAATTCTTAGTTGACACTGGAGCGGAAATTAGCGTAGTACCTCCATTTAACGAGGAAAGAAAAAACATTAATCCGTCATTAGTGCTAAGAGCAGCAAACAAATCAGATATTAAGACATATGGTAAACGGAAATTGTCCCTAGATTTTGGACGTGGCGCTTCATACCGCTGGAACTTTGTCATAGCAGACGTATCGATGCCCATAATAGGCATAGATTTCTTATGTAACTTTGACCTGCTAGTAGACTCTAGACGACACAGACTTATAAACGGCAGTCAAACCACTTCGATAAGAGGAATACTTACGGAAGCCGTTTCAATGAACCTTGTGATAGATAAAAGTCGTGGTGATCCATATAAATTGTTGTTAAGGGAGTTCCCTGAACTCGTAAAAGTAACATACAATAAAGCGGATCTCAAACATTCTATTCAGCATCACATCGTAACGAATGGTCCACCAATCAATGCAAGACCAAGAAGGTTAGATCCCAAAAGACTAGCCATCGCAAAACAGGAATTCGACAAGCTAATGAGGCTAGGCATTATAAGGCCATCGAGCAGCCCGTGGGCATCCCCGCTACATATGGCCCCGAAAAAGAATGGAGAGGTTAGGCCATGTGGAGATTACAGAGCACTGAACAAACAAACAGTAGCTGACAGATACCCTATACCGCACATCCATGATTTCACCTACAGTATAGAGGGCACTACTATCTTCTCGAAGATCGACTTAGTCAGAGCATACTACCACATCCCTGTTGCCCCACAAGACATACCGAAGACAGCAGTAACAACCCCATTTGGGCTATATGAATTCCTGCGTATGCCTTTTGGACTGACTAACGCGGCACAAACCTTTCAACGGTTTATCGACCAGGTCATTAGAGGTTTACCTGGGTATACGCGTATATCGACGATTTATTAGTAGCTAGCACCACTAAAGATGAGCATATACAACAACTACGGCAATTATTTATGCGACTCAGAGAACATGGTATTTCTATAAATATTGAGAAGTGTGAATTCGGAAAAGAATCTTTACAGTTCCTAGGTCACAATATAACTTCTCAAGGCATCACACCAATAGCAACAGAAGTCGACGCCATTAGGAATTATCCCCTACCCGACTCATGGAAAAAGTTACGCCGATTTCTCGGGTTAATAAATTATTACAGACGATTTATCCCGAATTGCGCGTCAATATTGCAACCACTAACAGATGCATTACGCGGAAACGCACGGACATTCCAATTATCACCAGACGCGATTCAAGCATTCGAGAACGCTAAAAAAGCACTAAATAAAGAAGTGACACTAACTAGACGAAAGAGCGAAACACCGTTAGCTATCATAACGGATGCATCAGATGTAGTGGTAGGAGCCGTTTTACAACAATTAGTAAATAGCATATGGGAACCGCTCTCATTTTTTTTCGAAAAGACTGAATCCGACACAAACAAGATATAGTACTTTCGGAAGAGAACTCCTAGCGATTTACTTGGCAATAAAACATTTCCGACATATGATTGAGGGTACCATTTTCACAGTATATACAGACCATAAACCCCTCACAAAAGCATTGAATGCCAAACAGGACAACTACTCGCCGAGGGAAATCCGACAATTAGAATTTATTTCCCAATTCACGTCCAACATACAGTATATCAAAGGTAATAGTAACGAAGTGGCAGACGCGTTATCCAGAACGATGGTCAACGCTCTCATCCAGTCTGAAATCGATTATCACAAGTTAGCAGCATTACAAAATATCGACGTCGAGTTAAACAGACTAAAGTCTGCCAATACAACCTCGTTAGTTCTCAAAGAAACTCCATTGGAAGAAGTAAGCATCACCTGCGATATTTCTACAGGTCAACCAAGACCATTTATTCCAAAGCCGCTAAGGCGAAACATTTTCGAAGCCATGCATAATATTTCGCATCCCGGAATAAAGGCCACCATCAAACTAATCAGCGAACGTTTCGTATGGCCAAGTATGAATCGGGATATTCGTAATTGGACGCAAGCGTGTATAAAATGCCAGAGAGTTAAGATACATCGCCACACCAGTTCCGCAGTAGGTCATTTCCGTCATCCCGATAACAGATTCGAGCACGTACATATCGATATTATAGGACCACTGCCGGTTTCGAATGGTTTCAGTTACATTTTCACTTGCATTGATAGATTCACACGATGGCCTGTAGCTGTGCCCATAAAAGATATTACAGCCGAAACTATCGCAAAAACCCTAGTAGAGCATTGGATTTCCCATTATGGTGTACCTACTAATATTACAACCGATAGAGGAGCTCAATTCGAGAGCCGCCTCTTCCAACAACTCACAGAACTACTCGGAATCAAACGAATTCGCACAACATCCTACCATCCGATGTCGAATGGTATGGTAGAGAGATTGCATCGGCAACTTAAAGCTTCTCTTACAGCCGTCATCAGCAATAACGATTGGGCCAGCAAGCTACCGTTAGTCATGTTGAGCTTAAGATCAACAATCAAACAAGATATAGAATGCTGCCCAGCAGAATTGGTTTATGGAACCACACTACGTCTGCCAGGAGAGTTTTTCACCGCAGGTAAAAGCGTCCCAACTGATATAGCGGACTATGTACAGCGTCTTAAGCAGCATATGAGTAGTCTAAGGATAACGCTTCCGAGACAACATCAACGCCGTGTGTACATACCCAAACAACTAAGTGACAGTACCCATGTGTTTATCAGAAGGGATAATGTGCAACGTCCCTTACAACCGGCCTACGATGGTCCATTTAAGGTGATTAAAAGAGACGACAAAACTATTACGGTAGAAAAAGCTGGAAAAACGGATGTAATTAGCATCGACCGAGTCAAACCAGCTTTCATCGAAGCCTACGATCAGCCAGTACATACAGATACTGCGAAAACCGTTGAATCATCGAAACGTCAGTTCCAATCATCAACGACATCGACGAACACAAACAAAGAGAATCCAGTAACCACAAAGTCTGGTCGAAGAGTAAGATGGCCCCAACGTTATGTCGCTGCAATCTTCTATTAATAATTTTCTACTATTTTAAATATTAATTATAACTTCCACTTCATTGTATACACATGCATTACTAATTTCATGTTATACGCTATAAAACTCTTATGTACCCCTACACTTACACGTATAATTTTTGTTTAAAATGTAAAGCAATACCGCATTCCTTCTATTTATTGCTACTATTTTTTATAACCTCACGGACAGGCACAAACCAAATGTACAGCACACACCAACTTCATCTTAATTTTGTACAAACCATTTTTTTCAAACGATTGTAACTACCCTACTCAGTTTACTATTTTTTGTGCAAACACAGACATTTTTCCATATATCTTTGTTTGCAGGGGGGAGCTATTATAGCGACTCACGTGCAATTGAGTTTAGTTCAGTCAAGGCCTTTTGTTGACCTATTTAATGGACAAAGTCATCCATGGTATAACAACTTGTACTATCTTTATTATTATGCTTGTATGAAATACATATGCTTGAACATTGTTTAGCGCCTACGCATGTATTCATTCTGCTAGCTTCATTATTAACTGCTTAATCTATTCGCTGACTCATCCATTTTCCTATACATATATATATGTGTACATTTGCACCCATTCACTCACTACTACTACTACTACAACTACTTGCTACTGCTACAATCGTAGTTCGCTTGCTCATTCATTTTGCCTCTCTGCTGTCTGGTCCGAATTATCTACTAAATAAACTGTAGTAGCTGCTTCTTTTTGCCTTCTGATTTCAAACATCGTTGAAGATTATACGATAACGGTTCGAGGGTGATTAATTAACGAAGCACAGCCACTACAATAACACGTATTTCGATAATCAGACGGGCTTGAAGTCACAACACTCGTTTTTTATAACAGTAAACAACCGCTTCAATTGTACTTTGATTTACGAAATATAAATGAAAAAAAGCTTAAACTTCTGCTCAAAATAAATTCATGTTATGCTTTGATATAATTCGATTTGATCTATTTTTCACTGAAAAGAAGTATGAATAAATTAATTGTAATGGATTTCTTTCTTAGAACATAAATTTTCATCTTATAATAAAGCGTATCAGAAATGAAATGCGATGTAAAGTGGTTTCATTATGTGAAAAAGATTTTACAAACTTTTACATAAACTAAAAGCTACAATACAGTTATTTTAAATTAGTATACTTAACAGTAAAACTAATAATCTTGTTGTTTGTCTTAGAATGTAAACGGAATACACCCATTATGATATTAAATAAGAACGATTAGTTCAGTGAAGAGTTCTCTTTTCAACGAATTCATTATCAAAGCTGTACAACTGCTAATATATATACTTATTTTTCAGGATGATAATAATACTGATAAGAAACTTCTGTTAGACATGATGACAGTATGGTCGAATAAAGAAAGGTATTTAGAAAAAAAATTAACTAAGGAAAACGCAACAATAGTCCGATTATTAATGACTTAAATATTCATCAAAAGATAGATGAAGAAATTATGATTGGGAAAGTATGGCTTAGCAAATTAAGATAAAATGTTGCAATTAAGAATAAATGTAATCAGCAGGATTGTAGAAACAGGGATGAATCAGTTGGGGGTAGAACATTTAATGAGAAGATGGGAGAGGAGTTTTAAGAAAAAAAATTCATAGAGCATCAAGACCATGGTAGAAGAAGAGTTTGTACTAATCTGTTTTGGACACATAATTCCGGTTTTCGCAGATGTATGACTATAGCTTCGTCAATGTAAAGAAGATGTAATATAATTGTTTTCGACGACTTCTACTTACCTTGTAGAGGACAAAAAAAAAACGACGTATGTCGTCATCCTTCCGAGTTCTTACGGAGCCGTTTAGCCGAACAGCACATAAAGAGCTGTTAACGATGATCCGCCCTCGTACTTATTGCTATGCGCACGCCTGTCAGTCCGCGAGAACTAGTCATCGGGTCGCCAGATACACGGAGGGTGTATCTCGTGGGCTCTCCGTTTAGCCGAGGTGAGGTCAAGTGAATGATCACACTAAAATCCTGTATGCGTGTTTCGGAGACACAGCATACATCAATGGTACGAGATTCTAGAGCTTCGGCTAAGGAGGCCTGCTAGCCGACTGGACATAGGGTGCGCACGTTGAAGACTCCATTGCGTAGTTTGAAGCGAGGTTTCATTAGACCTGGGACTGTTTTGTCCACCAGAATCGTTGGGCGTGGTGACACTTGAGGAGGAAGCCAAAAGGGAAGGTTTAGAGTTGAAAGTAGATGTAGGAGGGATAATAGGAATTGAAGAAGGACGTTGAATATGAATACAGTGGTCTTGAGTGCTGTTGGCAGTATCAGGGCGATTATCACTTCCCGGTTGCCTACACCGTGGAAGGGTTGTTCTGGAGGTACCTGAGAAGGAAATTAGGTTAGAAGTGGTCTTAGTGACCTAAGGGCGTGCCCTAGGGGCAACTGCTTGGGGTCGGTCACTCACGACCTTTTTGTGGGTAATTTTCGTGTTAGCTCGTACCTGTTGAGACCTTACTGCCGGAGACTGATGTCGGTAGGATAAGACGAGGTGTGCATTTTTGGAGTCGACCTTTTCTAACCCCACCTCTCCTTGTTGGAAGGCAGCATTGCTGTTATACTGAAGGAAACACCTTACTGCTGTCACACCTCTGTACAGTCAGCAGTACGATTGCGCCTTCGGACCTTGGGTTTGCTGCTTTCAATCTTACCGTTCTTTAACCCATCTGTCTGGCATGGTGTGACCTTGAGGAACGATTGTTCCAGCCAGTATAGCTCGATTGGTTCATCACGATAGGCAAGTCCGACCACCACCTCAAGGTAGCGACAATCTTTCTTTTATACATTACCACCATTGAATTAACTACTTCTATGAATCCAGTGTTCATTTTGTTGTGCTAAAGAGGTATAAAAAATTGAACCGATGTACATATGTGCCTGGTCCTACGTTGCAGCTGAATAACTGACTGACTGATGTTTCAAATGGCTGTCTAACTTATATTGGTTTTTGACTTAACTCTGAAAATCATTGCTTATTTTCTAGAATTTGATTATTTATTTTGTGAAATTTGAGAATATAATTTTGAATAAACAAAACTATAGCTGAGGGTTTCGTTGAGTTAAAACGATAGGGATTTATGAATACTGATCAAGAAATTTGGGTAGAAACAATCATTGTAATGATGATAATAATAATATAGATTAAATTCGAGTTCTTTTCATAAACGTAGGTGTGAATAATAGAGAGAAAACGAACAGATACATAAACAAAAGTAAACAACCAGTTATGATAAAAACAGGAATCTAATAAATTGTTTTTGTACGTTTTAAAATTTTGGATGGTCAGAACTTTCTCGACATAAATACACTAAGGAGCAAATCGTTCGGTATTTCTGACCGAATACTGTAAACGATATTAAATGATGATTTAGAGGCTGAGTGTTGTATCTTTTATTTAAAAAAAACCGAACTGTATTCTATAGATGATTGTCATTTTAAAATGAGTAAATAACTGGGAAATGTGATAATGCACTAATTCACATTTCAGTATTGAATATTTTGATATGTCACTGCATCATTAAATCGAATATACTACGAGTAAGATAGAATGAAAATGAAAATATAACTATAGCACTTTTCTGCTTATCAATAGAGGTGACTCAAATAATTTCTTGTTGAAGCGGAGACTTAAATTAGCCATCAACAGGACATTTTATGCAGCCCGCTTGTAATTATTGAAAAGACAAGGTCTATGTTCCATCAAAAAACCCAAAGAGCAAGTAAGCGATTGTGTTACATCCCATTGTGTCTATCAATTTACATATATGTACAAGTATATGTGCATATATCTGCAAGTAATGGCGAACCTATTGTTGATCACCGGCTACCATGGGACTGCATCTTCTGAAGTTTCTCCACTACATTGTGGATCAGACCTTTAGATCGAAGGCTCCGGGTGTGGCCCTCTAATGAAACCACCTGCTTCCAGCAATATCATAGCCCACACACAAATCCAGTGACTTGTGTGGCACATATGTATTCGGTGCCCCCTTTTTACTAATATTTGTATGTTCAAATAAATAGAAGGTAATGCTTAGAAATGATTACTTGATAAATTTAACGTTATATTTTAATTGGTATAATGAATCCGAATAGGTATTATTTCATCTAAGCTTATTTGTTTTCATTGGATGTCACATAAGCGACGCATTGTTCTACTTATTAATAATATTAAGTTTCATGGTTTACAAATGAATCTATTTTATAAATAAACTTAGTGAGTCTATCAAGTCTTTAATTACAAATATGGATTGTTATTGAAGGAATGACCTTTGTCTACTGAATGAATAAAATGTTATCTTACACAAATTAATAAATACGTTAGTTAATTTTGGTACGATGTTTACCAAAGCATTACAAATAGAACTGATTTATGGAATTGGTAATGCTAATGTCTATAGGAACATTTCAACCATATTTCTTTTTTGTTTCAGTAATATGAAGGTTTTATGACGTACGTTTGGTATGGACTTTTGACAATTAACTCAGAGAATAAATTAAACTTGAATAGAGATGTTTACTAAAATGTTGAAACAAACTCATCATGGAAAACAATCAGTGTACTGGTCATCACGAGTGTATTTCTTTAGAAGAATGCGAACTTATTTAGTGTCTAAAACATTCTTAACGTTATACTGAATGAAGCAAACTAGATGATACAAGTTGATTTTATTGTTCAGTTATTGATTTCCTAACTTTATATATTTGCCCTTAACATTCATATAAATTTCCTGCGTGCTGACTCGTAGATGTGTACTACTAAGGAGTAACATACATGAACAAAGCAGACATCTAATGCTTTCAGGTTTTCAATGATGGGCAAGCTTAGATCGGTTCATGATTTTGATGGAATTCGACAATCTTCAAAACCTCATACTGAAAATATCTGAGATGTTGATGTCACAGAAACAAGTAAACCTATATTTTTTTTAAATGACTTATTAGCATGTTGAATTGCATGTAGTAACTTCAATATTTCAATTTCTTAATTCTAA